GGGCTCTCCCTAAAGGGCACGGCGCCCCCCTGCGCCCGCTGCCTCCCGCCGTCTCCCGCCGTGCCGCCCGGCTCAGCATCCCTGCAGTCGGAAGGAATGACCCCCGAGGCCTAGCAGCCGTCTCAGCCCGGATCTTTGAGCCTCCCACCGTCATACCTGCGGCCTGACTTGGCACATAACTTCACGGTCTCCCTGCTGCCAGGGCCTCCCAGGCACCCAGGTCAGCACGGGGAGGTGCAAGGCGCACAAGGGCACACTTTCCAGGGGAGCTTGCGGGGGCGGGGAGGGGGGCAGGTTTTTTTGCACCCACAGCTCCAGGCACAGGGATGCTCTGCTGCCTGTCACGGGGCTGTTAGATTCCCTTTTCCCCAAATCCGGTGACTTTTGCGCTTCTGGCACCTGAAGAGCACCATCTACCTGCTTCCTTGGGCAGCCCTGGCTTTGCACAAGATCGGTCACAGTCAGGTGTGGGGAGACTGGAGCCTCCTGCTCAGGCCAAGGTTTGGGCCAGCCTTCTTCAGCAAGACAGCAAAGCCAGAGCCACATTTGCTTGCTCTGCTGTCCTCCTCTGTCTGTGGGTTTGTCTCGGTTTTTTTTTGGAGGGGGAATATTCAGACTTCAGAGATGACCGTGGTGAACCGAAAGCGCCTGTTGCTGTCTCCTCTTGCCCCCAAAGGACAGGCTTAAACTCATCTTTAACCCAAGCTAAATACCACCAGAAAGACTTTCCTCCCCTTACAAAGAAGAGAAATCAACAAAGGATGTCAGTAATATGTGAAATCCTTCCTTTTCATTTTGAAATACTGTGGTTGATTTGTTTTCCTTCTTTTTCCAGCCTTTGAAAGTGACCGTTAAGAAAAGGCTTAAAAAGTTTTAGGTGCAGTTTGCCATGGGATCTCTCTGGGCTGCTCCCAGCTGCTAGCCCTGACGGTGGCACGGCTGCATGGGGGGCCGGTGCTCTGAGCCAGCTGGAGGCCCTGCTGGACACAAGCTGGGGGCTCCAGGCGCCCCGGTCTCGCAGCCTCGGGGCAGCCTGTGCTGACAGATGGAGTAGCTGCCCCCAGGGAAGCTCAGCTGCTGTCAGCACGGAGCAATGGAAACAGAAGTGAAGGAGCTGGTGCCCATGGGACATTTTATCCTTGAGACAGGCTGGCGGGGGAGGCTTTTAGAAATGCCTTTCTCCCTCCTACTGCTCCCCAGTTGTCCAAAGGTTGGCTGTCCTTGTCCTCCCTGGCTGCTTCCCCTCCTGCTCCGTTCTGCTCAGCCTTGCTGCAGGGACCCACACATCCCTGCCCACAGGCTTCACTTCCCAGGGAGGCTGGAGGAGAGGGAGGCATAACGCCATGCCACAGGAAGCCTGCGGTCCCGGCCCTGGAGTCAGCGGCTTCTGCTGTCCCCCATGCCACAGCCACTTCCTCTCTCACACCAAATGTTTTCTTGTGTCTGGCAGCTCCATCCTTGCAGACTGTCCCTGGGACAGAGCAATGGGATGGGAGAACTGGAGCTCCCCTAGAGAGGCGCCCGGTCCCAGGGCTGTAGGCACCAGGTTTGGGGTGGGTTTGGGACACATGTGCATTAAGGATGGGGGTTGCTTTGCCTGGTGCACAGCCTTGCTTCAGCCAGAGCTTCCCGTGGCCTCTTGTGCTGCCTGCTGTGCGTGTGGCTGCTCCCTCTGACCCGTGGGCAGGCTTTGAGGCAAACGTGAGCCTCTGCCGTACCTGGGGTGCGGTGCTGGCATGTGTCTGATTGCTGTCGGTACATTTATAAGGGCACCTCAGGTTTCCCCATGTGTCAGCAAGGCCCAGGCATCATCACCCAGGCAGTGCGGGACACCTACGCAGCGGAGGATGCTGCGCCTGTGCCCTCCCTGGGAACAGCGTATCCAGGACGTTTCCGTTTGGCAGGAGGCGCAGAAGGATACAGGACTGCCAGAGCGTGGCTGCTTCCTGATGGTGTCAGCCTAAATTTCAGTAAGCACACAGAGATCTGCGCTTGTGGTGAGGAGCCCGTCTTCGAAACACAAACTGCTTGCGTGACCCCAGCACACGCAGCCTTACAGGGGAGCCGTGGGCGCAGCGTGCCGCGCTCTGCCATCGGGATGGCTTCCCCGTGGCCCAAAGGACACGGAGGATGAGGACCAGGCTGTTCCTGGAGATGGAAAAGTAGCCGGGCAGGCAGCAGGATGGCTTTCCGAACCCCGCCGGCTCCCTGGCAGACTGCAGGGGTGGGATGCGCGGGTTTGCTTGGTGCGGGTCCCAGGTATTTTGGGAGGATGGGTTGCAGCCCACCAGAGAGGCCCCACAGTTGTGCTCACCGCACCTCCCTTTTGGGCGGACGATGCCCAAGTGCCCCCGGCCTTCCCTGCGGGACAGGCCTCGCCCCGTCCCACGAAGGCCGCTTGAGCACCGCGGGCCGGGGAGGGGGGGCTGCGGGGAGCCCCC